AAAGAGTTGCCTTTTCCTAAGCGATCACATAGCTGACTCCAATACTTTTTCTATACATATAAAACATATAGCTCCATGATTTATGTTGTATTGTCATAACATGGACTCTCTAATCTTTAAACTTGGGGTTCATGTTGACAAAGTTTATCATCCATCCACTTATGATGATGCCCCTAATTGAGAGCACAATCCTAAGTGGGAAAGATAATGAATTATAGAGGCTTGCGCCTTCAAGAAATCTTATTTTTTCCTTTGATCTATATAAATCTTAGCAACTTCATCCATGATAATTTGGTTATATTAACCTTTTTTTCGGAGAGAATCATGATTTTTCCTCATTTGGAGCACAACTAAGGGTCTAATTTAGAAGCCCATGTCTGCGTGCCTCAGTTAAGTTTCGGTTTTGCACCTATGTTTTTTTTTCCTTTTTAAACTAACTTTATCACTAGATCATTGTGAAATATTTATAAATGTTTGTTGAAATTTTTTTGTAAAGTCTTACATGGAAATTCATTTCATCTACTTTTTCATGTCTCATTCTTTCAAGTGGCTTATTTATTTCTTTTAATATTAAGCATAAAAATTTGCTATTCGATGTATCAATGCTGATGCCTTATTTTTTTTTAAGACTCGAAAGCCACAACCGATACATGTGAGTAAATCAGGAGAGTTTATTGGCATTATAAAGAAGCGTAAACTGTTTATTTGGCAAATCCCTTGCAAGCGATTTAGAAGCGATGAAGTAAAAAAGATCAGACTGCATCACACAAAGAACTTGAGCACATTCGCATTCCATCCAACGGAGAGAGTTGTAGCTGGAGGTGATGTAACTGGAAGAGTATTAATATGGAGAGAATTTGGGCAGAAAAAGTTCTCAAAAAACTTGGTAGCTAGAGATGAGGAAGAAAAGCCTGGTGTAAGAGATGACGACGATGCTGATTCATGTACAACATGGCATTGGCATGCAAATGAAGTCAAATTTCTTTACTTCTCCTCTGATGGTGCATATTTGTATTCAGGTATGCTAAATCATCTCTTAATGATTTAAAATTGTTGGTTGAGCCTCTTTATAAGCAAGAAACCTAGATGTGGAGAAGTTAATGCTATTTTTTGGTGGCCTTTAAACATAATTCTTGATTTTGAAATTAACATTATTGTCCGATTCATGGAAACAAGAAAAGATGAACTTGATGGATTCTATTGAGTCTTGGTTTCTTTCTTAAGAGGGCTATTTTTATTAGCATAATATTCAGTACTATTAGACACATATTGCTCTGATTGATTTATTTCTTAATTGGCATTAATATCTTGTCTTTGATATAGCTTTATAGCGATGTTGTTTTTCACATTAGTTAAATAAATCTAGTTTTTTAGGTGGAAAGGAAGGAGTCATTGTTGTTTGGCAGCTTGACACCGGAAAGAAGAAGTTTAAACCTCGTTTAGGAGCCCCACTCATAACTTTCACAGATTCACCAGATCCCCATCTTTCATGTGTAAGAAACTGTGTTTATTTTAATCATTTGATTTTGCCTTGTAATTGAATTCATTTTATGTTATTTTCAATGTTGCTTATGTGGGCTAATATGGCCTTGTTTTAGATTGGTGTTCAGGATCTGATTCTCCTTTTGGCCTTTTGTATGATTATGGATTTGATATTGGGGGCTGTAGCCATGTTCAATTCTCATTCATTATGGTTATTACTATGTTTCAGGTTGATTTTAACATGATAATAATTGATTCTGTCTTGTTTAGGAGCACTTAGCCTCTAACTGTATCGATAGAATATTAAGTGTTAATTAGTTTTTAAAAGATCAGCCCTTAGTGGCATCTCCCATTGTGATTGTATCGATCTACAACAATGCTATTTGTTTAAATGTGATTTATTACTTTTCTTATGAATTGTACTGTACTCTCAAGAGCAATTATTAATTTTGCCCCTAGAGATTTAGAAGTTTTAGTTTTTGTTATATAGTTCTCTGTGTTTGGCAGAATATCAAATGTATCTTATGCTAATTTTTCATCTAACTTCAGTTGAAACAGAGGTTTGGTTATTCATTTAGCATTAAAAAAATTTGCTGAAACTCATTTAACATTTCCAAATCAGTTGAAGAGATAAGAGTGGAAGTATCGCATTGAGATTTTAGTGGTAGAAGTGATTCAGAAAATTCTTATTTAGAGTAATTTTTGTAGTCAAATACTGTTATTTTATTTCACATATTCATTTTAACAGTTAAATTAAATATTTTAAAAATATTTTTTATCTAATAGAAATATAATCAAAGAAGTTTTTTAAAATCATAAAATGAAAGTTAACAATTGCATAAAAAAATTAAAAGTATGAAAATTATGTTATGTGCGTGTATTTGTTGAAATGGAAATGGTTTTGTAAAAATCATTCTTGTCATGTTCAGTGGCTTTTCATTCCTAAAAAGCTGATATCGATCAAGTTCACAGGCTTGTCGAAATTTTTTTTATTTTTAATTTTAACATTTCATTTAAGGCAAAATTTTACAAACATTTGTTAAGATAAGGCAGTTTGGTTATAATTTTAAGAAGCAATGGATTTTTTATAATTTTGAAGTTTTTTTTTGGTTAGATTCAAATTATTGATGTTGTGAACCAACCTGCAATTGTAGTTAAACTTCTATAATAATTCACGATAAATTTGATATTTGTGATACTTGATTTTTTTTGTAAATCTTTTATAATATTTTAATGTTTCAAAATAAATTTGAAATTAAATTGTACCGCGATAATATAAAAAAAATATTTCATATGTCATATAAGAATATCAATTAGTGATGTATATAAGGCATTTCCCACGTAAGTGTTTTAAAAAATATTTAATTAGTTCTTCCACCAATATGTTCGATGAGTAATCACAGAGAAAGAGCGTTAGGGACAAAATTTTTTGAGGTTGAGGATTGTGGGTGAATCATATTTAATTATTTGGAAATTGGAATTTTTTCTCAAAATATTAAATGAGTAACCTACCCTTTGTATAGAAAAGATAATATGAGGGAGGGATTTGATATTTTCACAAATCTCAGGGACCTCACCTCAGGAAACTATATAAGAGTTAGCCAAAGCTCAAGGATGTGCGTGATAATGAACTCAATGGAGATTTGACGTTTTACCCATTATCATGGAGTTAATAGTTAATATTATATTTTTAGTGTAGAATAAATGCTTTTCTTTGTAGGTGTCAATTATTCCATCAACAAGAATTTTTTTTTAATTTTTTTAAAATGTCAAATCAACTTTCTTTACTTCAATAATGAAAATTGTTATACACTAAAGTAATGGACGCATATCTATTGGTCATTCTTGTACGTAGACAGCTAGTAGATTTATTTTTTTCAAGGTGTAGCGATGCTTTCATTAAATGATATAGGCCAAAACTATTAATTCATCTCTTTAGAAGGATTCCTTTGGGCGCATTTATAGTCTCCTGGTTATCATAAATTTTTGTTGATCAATTTTTGCTAAATTCATGTTTGCTTCTTTAGGTTTTACTGACATCAACATCTTCAGCTTTCTTGTTCAGATAATCAAATCCATCTGGTAAAGATGCCCACTATGGAGATCATCAAGTCTATTTCAGGAATTAAGGTTTGTGACGTTATATTCCTTCTTCATGTTTCTTATTTCAGCTATGGCTTCTGAAAAGTAAACTAATTTACTGATTTACATTCATCACCATTGATTTGGTTTCTGGTTATTGTAGACATGTGTTCTCACAGTCTTTTTTCAGTTGCCTTTCTCATTTCCAGATTCGTGTGAATGCTCAACCAATGAATTTGCCTTTCATAATGAGGCTGGATTAGTAGCACTGCGTACTGAAGATTATTGTATACAATTCTTTAGCTTGTTTGACAACATGGAAGTTTCACAGGTGTGCTACCTGGGAAATGGCTTTGACTTTATCTTAACTTTGTGAAAGTTAGATTAATCATCAAGCTTATATGATTGATGAACTCATTGTTCGTTCTTTCCAGGTGCAAGTATGTGAAAGGAACTTCCAACCTGTTGATGATGTCACGGTAATTGATTTCGCACTTCCGCAATAAATTATCACTTGTTCTTATGTTGTTTTAATTATCAATAGATATCCTCTTTCATTCTTCTCTTTGAAAAATATTATCCTTATTTTCTTATGTTATGTGCTCTTTTATGTTTCATTTATTTGTTGAAGTGTCCTTTCTCTATTTAGTGGATACTAAGTGGAAACCATAAACAAATAGTTGGTTAACTTGAGACTTTTTTTTATATTTTTTATGGGGGTTATATAAACTTGACAGGAACATCCATGGAAACATTGGTAACTACAGGCACTGGAGGCCTGCAATACACTTTTTTATCCATAGATAAGGTGGCCTTTATGTAAAAGTTGAAGTTTCGGTTTTAAATATTTAAATACATTAGAATTGAGGTCATGTATGTGACCTCCCTTTATTTTAAATGATAAGAAGAAATAAAATATTGAAAAAAATTATTGAAAAATAGGATAAGTACTAGCTATAGTGGAATTCACCTCCAATTTTAAATATAATTGAAATAAATGAAGATGGATTAATAGTCTATATTTGAAGTGATTTATTTTCTAACAATAAAATTTTTAAGTATTTTTAATTAATAACTAAAATTATTATTATATATATATTTCTCAATATGCGCGCGCGCGCGATGTACCCCATCCTGTTGGTTGGCATCTATTGTATAAAACCTCTCAAGTCGAGGGTTCGAATTCCCTTTGACACAATTGGCCTTATGGAGGTGGTACTTGAATTGTTAGGCACATTAGGGGCTGTTGGAGGCTCGTATAATAGCCTTTGACCATTTTTTATCATTCCTTTTAATATATATATACATGTCTATATGACATCGGTGGCGATTTGCTCTGCTAGGGTTTAGCCCGATGGAGAAACTATGATTTGATTCCTTCGGCCTTCAATCCATCCTGTGGTGTTCAATGATGAAGTTCCTGCACTTGACGACGACGATGAAGGACTTCAATCTGCTTTGTGATCTTCGTCTTCTCTTTTGCGCCCAACGTTGAAGGCTTCGACGTCTCCTTCTGCGGTTTGGTCGCCTCCTCTTTCGCGTCATCCAACTTCTGCAGTTCTTTTCTGCGTGGATTCCCTCGTCGAGCTGCGGTTTCGTGTCTGTCTTCTGCACATTTCATCTACGATTTTTGTTTTTTGTGCAGCTTCGCCCCGACCTCTTCGGCTCGTCTTTTTTGCCCTCTGCCCTACTTGCAGGGTTTCTCTTTGTTGAGATGAAGCTTCTTTCTTTTTCGGTTGAACCTGACAAAACCTCATTTGCCCACGTGGTGGGTAATCCTCAGGGGAGACGACGGTTGTCTTCCCTTCAAGTTATAAGGAGTATCATGATGATACAAGTAACCGCAAGAATGCAGGAAAAGTGGGAAGGAAGCACTCTTTTCTCTGCGTCAGAAATTTCAACGTTAACTAACAAATTCAGGTTTGCTCTTACTGAGAAATTTCAGTGGGGACACCCACCTATGGAAGTTATCAGGAAAAGTTTTGATGACCTCAAATTAGCAGGAAAGTGAAAAGTGAGGCTCATGGATGAGAGACATGTATTGATTCAGTTAACCGCGCTTGAGGACTACACTCAGATTTTCTCCAAAAAATATCTTAACATTGATGGTAAAACAATGAAGCTACTTAAGTTGTCTCCTGATTTACCTCATACTATACCTGTATGGTTTAGTCTATCTGGTCTCAAACTGAACTTTTTTCATCATCAGGTTCTTTACTCTATTGGTGTCATACTTTGGGACTTTATGAAGCTAGATCTACCCATTTTCAACCTTACCAGACCTTCTGTGACCAGAATACTTGTGGAAATAGATATTACTTTGTCTGATGTTACTGAAGTCTAGTAATGGATATTGACAACAAATCGTAACGCATAATGAATATTGACAACAATTCGTCATGGAGCATAAACCTCTTTATTGTTCTCATTGTAAGATAAATGTCATAAGCTTCATCCTAATTTGAAATATAAAGATCAAGTGAATAAGGATGGATCTAAGGATATATCTGTTCCACCTGGAGAGAAAATTACCACCAGAACAAGATTTGGTGTTTGATTTTATTGCCCATGTGGACCCTCCCCCTTAAGATAATGTAATAATGAAGGACCCCTACATACACGGACTGATAATCAGGAGAACTTTGCAGCTCCCCACCTTCAGGAAGTATCAGGGGTAGAGGCGACAATTCTTACCTCACATACACTTGTTGGCACAACTGTTGGCAATCTTTCTACAACAACATTATCACCTCATCCGAGTGAGCAACAAGCTTCGGATGAGGAATGACAGGTCTACACTTCCAGGAGGAAGAAAAGAATGAAGATCTACTAGAGCTAAAGAATCTGATGGATGATACTCTGGTTACTTCGGGCAATGGTACACACCTCACCAATCTATTAGCTGGTTCCTTTCCGAGAACTAGAGATAAAAACAGAACTAAAATGGGTCGACCTGGTTGATCTTTTATGTATCATTTACTTTTGGGTTTTTAATTTTCTTCTTTTTCTTTTTGTGTGTTGTACCGTATGGGTTGCCTATTTGGGTCTACTCATACAATCTATTTGTACCCTTTTCTCCTTAATATAATTGCCCTTGGGTTTTTTTAAAATATACTAGTATGGTTTAGTCTACCTGGTCTCAAGCTGCACTTTTTTCATCATCAGGTTCTCTACTCTATTGGGGTCATCCTTGGGGACCCTATGAAGCTAGATCTACCCACTTTCAATCTAACAAGACCTTTTGTGGTTAGAATATTTGTGGAAAGGGATATTACTTTACCTGATGTTACTGAAGTCTGACTGGGCACAACTCATAATGGATATTAACAACAAATCGTTATGGAACACAAACCTTCATATTGTACCAATTGTAAGATGTTTGGGCTTATCCTTGATACATGCCACAAGCTCCACCCTAATTTAAAATCCAAGGTTCAAGTGAATAAGGAAGGGTCTAACTCCACTGCTCTGAACATTTTAGTTCCACCCGGGGAGGATGCTACCGGACAGGAGGTGAATGTTGCCCCTGAGGAACCCCCCACGACACTATGTGATATTGGCACTTTCAAACCCCATAGAAAACAATACTAAAGGACTATTACCTACAGAGGATAGTGCTCAGACTAATAATCAGGAGAACCTCACAGCTCCCCTTCTTCAGGAAGTATCCGGTGTAGAGACAACTCATACTTCACATATACTAGAACCTATTGTGGGTAATACGGTTGGTAATTCTTCTGCTACAGCTCAACCACCCCATCAGACTAATTCTTCGGATGAGGAATGACAGGTTTACACTTTCAGGAGGAAGAATAATGAAGATCTACTTGAGCTCAGGAGTCTATGGATGATACTTTGGTTACTTCGGGTAATGGTACGCACCTTACCAACTTGTTAGCTGGATTCCTTCCGAGAACTAGAGCCAGAGGCATGACCAGATTGGGATAACCCTCACTTTTTTCAGCGCCCTAGTGGTTTTGGGTTTTTTTATTTTTATATGTACCATTTTTGACTTTTCTGTGTGTTATACCGTGTGAGTTGGGTGTCTATTTTTGGGCTCACCCATACAACCTATCTGTATCTTTTCTCTTTAATGAATTAGCCCTTGGGTTTATATATATATATATATATATATACATACA